AAAAAAAAAACTTTTTTTTTTAATTATGTGAAAGAACTTCCCGCCTGTGCAGGATTATTATTTTTGTAGATGCTTCAAACACGACGGAACTGAAATCTGTTTAAAAATTTACACGCTCTGGAACAAATATGAAATCCGCGGATTTTATTAAAATAAAAAGTAAAACACACGTTTTACAGCGTTGTTACTTTTTTAAATAACAACAACGTGCATAATTAAATTTCATTTCACAACTTGTTAATTTTCTGCTATGCTGCTGTATGCAGTACATACGTTTCTATTTTTTTCTTTTTGCAGAATATTTTAATTAAACCGCATGAAATGTAACGCGGTTACATATAGAGATGTTCGGGGTTAAAAGCTAAGGACAATTTGTTGTTAGATAACATTGTTAAATGTATGTTAATTTTCTTCATAATTTTGCGTTTGAAAAAAAAAGTATAACTTTTTGCTTAAGAAGTTATCTATTAATCAATTTTAAATATGAATTAAATACAGTATTGCGTGATTTGAATTTTACATATTTACAAAAATAAAAAAGTTCAGTTTAGAGTTGATTAATTATACTAAAACCAATATTTAAAGAAGATATGTGTTGTAACATAGATGCAAAAGCATAGATAGAAACTTTCAATTGCATTGTCACATATTCACATAATTCTTTAAATAATAATCTATGAAATATGATTTTTTGAATTATTACTTTTTCTACTTTGTTCCTCACATTTATATAAAAGTAACTTCCAATAAGTCTTGGAAACTTTATACATTAAAAGTTTATCACTTTTTACGTAAAATACGTTACAATCTTCATAATACGAGATGCTTTTATATAAAAAAAAATGTTTGTAAATATTGTAAAATTTCTACTAGTAAAAATCCATTATTGAATTTTATACAAATATAAAAGAAAAATAAGTAAAGTGCTCAAAGCTTACAGGTATTATTTGTGAACGAATAAATTGTAGGTTTGACTCCCATCACACAGAATACACGTTATGTTCAAGCAATATAAATGAACCAAATAAAGAATATTTCAATTGTAAATAAAATATATAGTTAAATTAAAACTTGAATTTTATAATTTATATAAAAATATTGAAACATTTTTTAGGACAGATGTGTAATTTCATTTCCAGACGTTTAAATATAAACGAGGGAGAGTATCATTTTAATAATAAAATCGCGATTCGTTAAAACAAATTTGAACTTTTTGGCTTGATGTTCCGAGCTGAAAAGTTTAAATCAAAAAATGTAATAATATAAATTAAAAAGTTAAACTTTCCAGTGGCACCTTTTATAAATGTAAATTTCGTGCCGAAATTGTTAATGAAGGTTGAAGGCGGCTTGTTTGTTTTTGATGAATCTCATTAAACCTTTTTTGCTCGTTTCTTCTCTAACACACAGAAACACACACATTCTCTCTCTCTCTCTGAAGCACATTTATACGTATCTGTGAGCGCACGCACACATACGCTTATATAATATGTTCTTATTATCACCTTAATTAGGGCTTTCATTAGTTAATGTCGCAATTAAAACTTTGTGGAAGTGACGGTCCTGTTCGTCTCGGGGATAACGGCGTGTTTAACTAACGACACGGTTACGTGCAAATAACAATAAACTTAGTGATCTATTAATTCATCACCTTAGGGGGAACCGACACGTATTTTACATCTAATAACATCCCCGAATCAAATCCAACTGGAAATCTAATCACCGCTTTCTAAACGCCCACCAGCCGAAGTGCTTTCAGACCCGATTTCGCCACCAATCCCCCATTGAAATGGGGATGGGGGTGTTGCGATACTGCAATGCACAAAGAGGCAGTTAATATGAGAATTCTTAACAGGAATTTAATTCTCACTTGGAACACATGCTCTTATAACGGCATAGAATTATTTTCGTTTTCGGCTCGGTGCTCGGAAAATGGGGAACAGTTTGCGTTGACTACTTTCCGAATAAATTTTAATTACAATGATATAGTCCACACTGATAGTGGTAATGTGTACCGGGAATTAATTAAAAACTTCTCCGACTCGGGATAATTGGGTTTTTCGTGGTGACAGGAAAACTCGCTATTGCTTCGAAGAAACAAAGCAAAAGTGCAGTCCATAAAAATTCCAAATTTTTTCCATGCTATGAATACACGCAAGTTTTATTATTGGGGGCAGGTTGACAGGCAATACGATACCTATGATTACTTTACCTCCTCTGGGACGAACGTTTATTACGTTGTGTGTCAATTGTTGTTTCATTTAGTTTTTGCTGTGTCCTATAAATAATGATTGTGTGTTAACGTGTTATTGCTGAACTGGGATTTATATAATATTATTGTATACGAGAATGGCTATACACAACAAAAAAATGCAGCACATCTCTCTATATCGAGTATATATCATTCGTTTTTATACACCGCATGATATATTTTTCTTAATATAGCAGGAAATTCATCATCGTCCCTTCGTACTGTAATATTAAACCTATTTAATTAACTGTCATAGCGTAACGCCGTTTCGTTTCCATTTTTGTTCATCTCTTTTTCTGCGCACAGTTGAAATAAGCTTAATCTCTAATTAGTTTTGTGTGCAATTCAGAATTATGAACGAAAATAAAAGAAACAAACATGGATCAGATTACAATTTTTGTTTTGGTCTTCTTTTGTTTTTTATCCATATATGCAGAGTGTATTGTTTTTAAGCTATAACATGTACGGCTGTTAAAATTGCACAATAAAGTTTAACTAGCATTGCCTTTATCATTTTTATGCTGATACGAAATATCACTGGAAATAAAATGGTTTTGCTTAGTGGAAATAAATATTAGTATTCCTATAAATATTGATTTTATACATTCATGTATTAAAATAGCTAAGAAAATAAGTTGCTAAACTTACGGACAATTATAATCTTGGATGGATTCACTTCTGAAACCATATTTCATAACTGGCTGTACTTCAACTTTGCAGCTTATAACTTACGATTATCGCACACAATTGTGTAATCACCATACAAATTATATATTTTTTATATAATTTATGAAATCAAATACTTTCTTGTTATAAAAAAATGTGATTTTTGCACAATTAAATAATATTTGAAGTATATAAATCAATCAAATCAGTTTTACTGTTATAGTTACAAAAATAGATGTATTACAATTGTGAATAGAACTAAATTGATGTAAACCATAGAAATTACATGAAATTCATAATTGTGTCGTGTATAGTTATTGAGAAAATTAATAATTTGTGAAGACACCGTTAATTGAATTTCTGATAGATTTCTATGGGAATTCAAATAAATTGCGTGCTAATTCGTAATTGTGTAACTTTTTTTTTTCACTTTGACTGTAAATTCCAGGAAATCATTTTATAATTTGTTAGGTTTAGAAATATTTTTAATGGAAACATTGGATACAATTTGATTATTGAATACAATTGTAAATATGAATTTATGTACATTTCCGTATGATCATTTGTCTTGTGTGCATTTATGGCAGCAGGTATTTTTCATGTCCGTTTTTTTTCTCTGGTCATTAATCAGATCACAGCACATTTTACGAGGTTTGATAAAAAAAATATCAAATATATCTGTATCATCGAATTATTTAAACAGATCATTGCAAACAAATAAAATATTTGATCTCATTTAAAAGTAATATAATTTGAAATTGGATTGAATTCCAATTTTTCGAAAATTTATATCAATGAAATTGAATGTGAAACAAATCATGTTAACATACTATTATTCTTGAAATATATCAAGTAATGTTGTTAATATTAGTTGTTAAAAAATGCTAAAGCAATGCTAGTTTTGTAATAATGCAATTTGTTTAAAATAATACATCTGCATATGTGAATCAATGAATGTAAGTATAATTTAATAAAAAAGACTTACGCTGCTTCTTCGACAACAGTGGCCAAAATGAACTCTGTGCTTTTATCGTTGGAAATAACCTGGCATTCGTCTGCTGGCTCGTCATCTTCATCACCCGATCCTGATCCAGTGTTGGTCGCTGGCTCTTCAACGGTCGTCGGCCCGAGAGCGGTTTCCGCCAATCTTCTGGTGCTGGCAACGTTCTCTATCACAGATCCTGGTTTGATTTCGCTGGGCAACGGCTTCCGGTTTAACCTCGATTGCATCGCTCGTTTTCGTAATGCCTGCACAAACAACGAACAAAAATGAGCAAAAAAGATCCAACTTCAATCGTGAAAGAGACAGATGAAAAATATTCGAGTAGCAAGTGAAATACAGAGTCATTGAGTTATGTAAGAGAAGAAAATGTGCACGGGGATTGAGTTTCGTTGCTCCAGTTAAACTGTGCCAAAGAAACAATTACTCAAGAAGCTAATCAATCAATTAGCTTTCTTGGGAGGAGAAGCGATCTCTTTGTTCGTCTACCGCACTATCTTTTTATCGTGACTAAACGATGTTTTGCAGCCATTATTCGAGGATCAGACTTCTTGCGGCTGAAACCGTCGTAAACAAATTAGTTTTCGTCGGTATAATTTAAGTTTCATCGCTGACAACGCGCGGAGACGAACTTTCCGCTTATTATTGTAGCCGGGATAAATGGCATTCATAAATTTCAATTTAGCAATTTAAATCATCATTCGCAATGAAACGTCGTCTCTTTATATAATTCTTTGCTTAAACATCATGACGCGGCGACTGTTGGAGTATCGCAGTAATCGTGTAATGTTAATCCGCGAACACTAAAATTGCGAGCCCTTACATAGTGGAGAACATGCAAATACGCAAATCCCCCAAGCATCGAAACGCTGCTTATTTAAGCATAAAACTTGAAGGCAATAAATTTCAGCATTACACTGAGAATTTCTATTCTACTATAAATAGTTATCATTTTTAATTCCCTTTATTTCAAAATATGCTGCAGTTCTCATCGAATTACAAACAATGTATTACCCTAGTTTCCATAATGTTGATAAATTACATAACAGTTTCAAAATTATCAATTATCAAATGTGAACGTATATGCCATAAATCATTACATAATGATTATATAAAACATCTATCTATGTATATAAGTTGGATTGTGACCATTACCTTTCAAAGATTGTATTTTTTTTTTTAGAATTAATGTTTTACAAAATAAACAGAATACTTTACGAGAGGAATTTGGTCGTGAAGTGGATTCTGTGGGTGATTCCTAAGCTCGAGCCTTAATTTTGTGTACGTTGTGAAGTTCACGTACGCGGTGCGGCTGTTACACTCTTGGGGTTGGTGTGAATAATTATAATAGTAGTTTTCTGTACAAAGAGCGAGAGCTGGCGTATGTTAAAGTTCCAACTTTAATAAATGTACCTACGGGATAAGAAGGGTGGAGCCACCGGATTTGAGGTCGCAACTTATAATTTACATATAATTTTGGTGTAATTTTGTTTTCGTTATATAAATTTAAGAGCTGCGATATTTCCGCATCATATATTTCTCACTGCGCGTCTTTCGAAGCGTATGTATATATGGGGGGGGGCGAATTCCGTTTGCATACACTGAAATTTGCTGAAGGAATTCAGTAATCGATTCGATCCAATCTGAGATATTTTATTTTGAAGCTACATGCAGCTCGCATTCAATTAGAATATTTACTTACACGTCCTGCATTTTTATCAGCACAAAACAAAAATAATCCAATCGTTCGTATTCAGACCGTCCGACCCGGCGCCTCCGCTTAATTTATAATACCATTACAACTCGAGTAAAAGTTCCAACCGACAACGGCATAAAACCTAATCGTATTTATTTCAACAAACAAATTACAATGTTTCAAATAATTACTTCAATAAACTTTCATTTATAATCGTTTTTAAGCAATAAGTATCTTCGAATTACTTAATAATAACGTAAATAAGTTGCCAATTTGATTATTTGATCTGCAGGGTGATTTGTATTATGATATGTAAGAAAACTGTTATTATGCAACTGGTCCATTCTGGGAAACCAGTAGTTTTTATTATTTATGTTTTTTTTGTATTAATTTTGTGTCTTACCTTAAAAATATTGTAGTAAAGGAACATCATGATGAAGCATGGAATGTAGAATGACGAAAGGCTCGAGTAAATAATGAAATCACTGTTGTAAAATAAACACGCATCGGGCACCCGGTCTGGAGTGTTATTGAGTCCCAAGACGATGGGAGATCCGATGGCCACCGATATGACCCATACAAGGACTATCGTCAGCCAAACCCTCCTGTTATTCTTGTGCTTTGCGTACTTTATTGGCTGGGTCACTGCGATGTACCTGTAACAGAAACAGACCGAGATAAATACATCCACAGAAACTATCAAACGGATATTACACAGAATCCCTTTTCGTTCCATTCGAGATTACTCAACCACTCGTTGCGAAAGGATTTATTTACTTCTGTCAATTTCGTAGAACGTAGTCCGAACTTGATTTAAGGGATGCTCAGAGAGTCACGGTTTTCTCTCTTGCAAACGTCCCTTAAATAACAGTATAAAAGACGCGAGATCTTCATTAAGATTAAGTGATGTATTTTATTTATTACCGCAATCTTTAATTGCAGCCGACAGCAAACTAATGACCGGAAGCGCATAATACCTGACAAATGTTATTTATATTCGTTTGGAAATTTGTAATCCCTCGAGGATTTAAGCCTCTATTTTTCATTTTGATTGATTACTTTTTTAAGACTTATTACAACATAATTGCTTCTGCAGCTGAAATATTGGCAATACCTCTAAAAATACATTAAGATTATCATTTCGTCTATTATTCAATGAAACATAACATAGTAAAGCAGGTGTCGAATTACCAATAGAAAATGGTAACAGTAACACTAATTCACACGGAACGACCAAACACCAACTTTATCTAACTGCTAAATGGCCACTCTCGAGTCCCAGAAAACGTTTTACAATAATAGAACACTAAATTTATTTAAACTAAAATAAAGAGGCGAATAAAAATCTTGTAGAAATTGGGTTTTGGTGGTGATGACCCGACGCATCCATATAAAGGTGATCTTCAAGGATGCGCTAAATAAATATAATTAAATTAAATTAGATTTTAAATTTAATTTGAGCTTGACTTTATTTATCTAGGAACTATTATTTTATGACTATTACACTGAAAAGCGACCGTGGCTAAGCGTAAATTAAACCTTTTGGGTTTCTTTCACTTGCGTGCGTCAATATTTGTACATGTAACACACACCGAGTTGTTGCGTTAATTTGATAACGTGGATAATAGTTTTCATTAACATTCTGCTTGTACCAGGATTAAATATTGGTTCTGCTGTCTTCGCTCCATCGCAGCAGTTCTACATACATTTTTATCCCGTGCGGAATTGTACGGAAAAGTGTCAGCGGAAACGGAAATGGAAAAAAGATAAAAGGTTGGAAGAGGGCTTCGGTGGGGGCAATATTCGGCATATGAAAGGAGACATCTAGATGTTCCATTTTATTCAAGATATAATGCCGTATTATCAGCATCAGCATCACCGACGCCGCCTACGACTGCGACGACGCCGATCAATGAGTTTGCAATAATCATTATCGTTAAGCGACATATTGTACGTTTTTATTTATGCCATATCTTCTCTTTTTTTTTAACACGTTTACCCTTTTCAAAATTAGACTCCCATTGATGACCCTTTCGATTGCCAATTCCGGGTTGAGCACATATTCTGTTGCGGCATATTTCCAATCGATTTAATCGTACGTTGCTTGCGTTCCCATTGAGATTTTTCACTGTGAATTTGGCACAATAGTTTTTGATATTTTACTCCAACAGAAACTTAAAAACTTTCCAAATTCTAATCAAAACTTTATATATATTAAACTGAATACAACAATAACAATTTTGTTTACATATAATTTAATTAATCTGGAAATTTGCGAGTAATGGATATAGAAATTTATTTAGGATTTTGAATTATTTTGGTTGATATCATCAGCGTAGAAACCTACTGTTATTTCCTTCTTTCTACAATTCATATTGTTTTCTATTTGATACTTTATTTTACAGCAATAATTTATAAAATTGTATTTATTACATGAAATAATATTTTTGTTGAATAATATATTTAAGAAGTTAATAACTTGGATTTATGATTTTATCTTTTAATTTTTTTTTTAGTTTCTCATTTTATGAGTAAATATTTTGTTTATGAATTTAAATTTATATAATTTTTTGCGTTGTATAAGTATAAATGCAATTTCAGCAATACATTAAAGTATATAAGATGATTGTATCAAGGGATTTCAGGGTGAAACTTAGGATACCGTAAAAAGGATACAACTATAAATATCAAAGTAGCAAGTAGACCGTGATATAGAGTAGAAGACATAAACAAACTGCGTATAAACCACATGAGAATTCTCTATAACCACACATGATCTCACAAGAACATCAATATATAAGTTTGGAAATATTTACTAAATATAAATTATAATGTTTATTATAAACCCTAAATGAGTTTTAGAAGACAATTATTGTTGTCATTTTTTTTTCAATATTTAGATAAAACTGTAGTAAAAATGATTTAAATTTAATTAAAAGAGATTTAGTATTAATAAACAAAAATATCAATTAAATTACGAATTTAATGGAAAAATCTATCACAGTATTTACGTGTTCTGATTTTTTGTTTCTTGTTGACAGGCAGCTAAATAAATTGGAGACATCAAAGGGCCCGGGTAATCAATTTAGGATTAATCGAATGTTTACTAATTAACGTGGGTATGTGCAAAGCAGTGTCAATCCAGTTGGATTCATCTTTTCAGCTGAACGGAGATAAATTAATCAAATAAAAGTAATTAATTTTAAATATTTAATCAAAAAAAGAATATAACAAATCACATTGATTGAATAATTTATATTTACAATTTATCTAATTGTTCAGAAACCAATTTAATAAAAGTATTAATGTTTAAATTCTTTATGTTTGTAGATTTCTTTGTAAACATGTTTTTCTTTCTTTTTATTTATACAAGTGTTATTTTTGAGAAAGTTTCTTCTTTGTGAAAATAAATTGTGGCATTTGTAAGTCATTTGATGGAAGAAATATAGAGATTCAAGTAACTCACGCCGTTCCTTTTGCGTGTGTGAGCATATGTATGCCTTTATACGCAGAGAAAATCAGAATAAATTGGAACTGAAAACAATAAGGTGAGAGTATGCAAGGATCGTGTGTTATGTGTGTGTGCACGTGAAAGGCAGATCAAAGAAAAACAAAGAGAAAATTTGAAAATCGAATTTCCTCTAGCGAAATGACGCAGTTCGCACCCAGCATGTATGTATGCCATGCACTGATAGAGATGAATTTGAAGCCTGAGTAAATGCTGGTATAAACTTATTCAAATATATTTAGCGCGAGAGAAAATATTTGCGGTCGAAAAATGCCATTGCTCTGGCATATAGAAATAATCGCGACGGCAGTAATCGAATAAATCACGCAGAGTAACGTAATTTTCCGGCTAAAGTTAAACAATATGCAGCGATGTTAAGGGCTCCGCCCTGACTTGCTATCCTTGCCAGTGTGAAATAGGATCGTGACATTAATGACTTCATTACTACAGCTGACAAGTCAAGCTACCCCGACTCCTCCCGGTGGCTTCAAAAGGGAGTTTCAGGAGCGCTTCAGGATCAATGCTGAATAAATGTCTGAATAAATGATAAACTACTGAAATAAATTAAGTGAGCACAATTACAGCGCGGCGCCTGGGGTTAGGTCGAAAGGTTGGCAAAGTGAGACTGCGGACATCGGGAATTGGATCTCGGGTGGCGATAAAGTTGAAAAGTCCCTTTTCGACAAATGAACATTTAATAAAGGACAATTGAACCCGCGACGTCGAATAAATTAAAGTTAGGAAATGCAGTAAAAACCAGCGGAAAGAACTACATGGACCTAACAAAGACCCAAGACTTCCTATTGTCCTCACTTGTGAAATATCGACTACCAGTTGTAAAAAAATATATCCCTATGGAAATTAATCAAGGATATTCAAATTTATTGAAATATTTCAATTGAATATAATAAAATATATCAATGTTTACATTTGTAATATAATTATTGCAAATATAATATTAATAAAATTGAGTTATTACATTGAAAATCTCTACATACTTGAAAAATGACTCTCGACAGAACGTATCGCAATGAAAACTAAATCAAGAGATATACACATGTAACATAAATAATGTATTGCATTTTCACTGAATAGTCAATTAATAGATTGAGTAATTATAGATTGTATCGATTACGTGATATAACCAATGTATTGTCATGCGGTATTATTGATAATTTAGATATTTATATTACTTCGAACATTAATTAGATGAAATATAGTAAATCAACTCAAGGTTATGCGTGACTATGATAATGAAATCTGTGTTCGTTCATGCTTTTAGTTAATTATGTATTCTTGACATTGATTTTCTATCTAATTAAAATTGTTTCATTAATTTCACGATTTAATGTACAGAGTATACACATATATCTTCAAAAGCCAACGATGATAGAACTTGATAAGTCTTTAAAAGTGGATGGTTTTGATGCTACTTCTAAAGGATTAAATTTAATGAATAAAATGAAATGAAAAATTAGTATAATTGGCAACTGGGATAAACGAGAGTTCAAAATTGTACTCCTAAATAAAAAAACGAATCCTTTTCTTTACAGAATTAATATTTATGATATTTACAATTCATAAACCATGATTACAGAGAGTAATTCTAAACTATAGACCTCTTGTTGCAGCTGGTTGAAATTAGTTACGTGTGCCTTAAATAATTGCACCTTTTTTTATATTGCAAGCGGTTTCAAGTTGAATTACGCAACGCTGGAATATGGATAGAACACGGTCCTCGATTTCCATCAGTGGCGGCAAGCAATTTGCAAAGTCCGCATATCTACGGTTATTATCTGTAGAACAATAACACTACGTTAAAGTCAAGTGCAATTGAAATGATTGATAGTAACTGATTGTAACGATATTGTTGAATTGCAACCCGTTCATATTCGAACTTACAAGAACTGTGCACGTATTTAACTCCCCTGATATCATCGAGTATACTCCCTTGCATGTTGATTGCACATATAACTTGCATAATTTTTATCGCACACAAAACGAAAACCCCAAACAATCTAACCTTGAAGCACTAAAATTAGCTTTAAGTGTTTTTATGATTTCAATTATAACATTGTATTATGGAAAGCGAATTCTTTAAATCGATAATCATAACATAATTCATACCGCATATACTGCGTGATAAGGGCATTAAGTTCGGAGCAGCGAACAAATACATTTCTATTAAGGGGAGAAGCGAAACCGGAGCAGTTTTCTTTAATGAAACACGTGCCGTTTCACTCGACTATTGTTTATTTGAGCAGACAAATTGGCCATTTAAACAAGACGCACCGCATCCCCCCCCATACACACAACACATTTAAACATCCATCAGTAAAAATTTCCCAGACGCACCCCGTCTGCAACAATTTGTCAGGCCTCCGAAACGTCTTAAAACGCTTTAAGAAAGCGCGAGCAAATGGCCAACATAATTTTCCACCCGCTTTTCACATACATATATATATATATTTAGTCATAAATACTTAGGTTATATAAAAATTTATTACTGAAAGCACAACTAATAAAATACGTTAAGTATTAATATTTTCTATTTCTTTACGTAATTTCATTTAAACTGAATTGAAATTGAACAAAGTGAATGTAAAAGGAATAATTGTATTCATTTTCTTGAGCCGCTAATGTTTCTGGTGATTTGTTAAAGTATTTGATTTAGTAGTTCGAATGTAATGTGAATGGATGAAAAGAAAGCCCCGGGGAGGGAAACTTTCCATAGAAAACTCGGTCGTCCTGCGGGATTTTCGCAACGATCCAAACTGCCTTATTTTCTCTCCAGAAACTTCTTAACAAAATCTATTAGCGACAACACGGCCTGGATAAATATTCGAAATTTAGAAGATAAACATCGCGCGAATGTGGAACACGGTAATTCCTAGTCGTCCAGAGACTGCTTTTAATTAAATACATGTGAATTGAAGTCCGTACGTTATGTACTTTGAACGTGTTTAGACATGATTTTAATTTGTATGACTTCGACAACTCACTTTTACTTACTACAATTTGTTTAAAATTAGTTATACTTAAAAACTCTAATAATTGAAAACTATGAATACAATAGTAGGCATATTGTGGTCTATAAAAGTGATTTGAAAATTTCAAAATAAAACAAACTTTTGTGCAGTTTCAAACATCTGGGAAAATGTTATTGTGTTATAATATTAGAAAATGTATGAATACCTACAAAATTACTTTATTAATAAGAGTATAGTTTCATGTATGAAAGATAATATGCGAAAATAGAAATTTGAAGCGCGCTGGACAGGTTTCCACATCGAACTAATTGTTCTTGACAACTATATTTTGCTATTAATTTACATAGAAGAAAATACAGTTTGAAATATCCTATTAGTTTGGTATCGGGGATTTGGGCAAGGTAATCAAAATTATGCGTCATAATGCATTGAAAGTGTGCTTGTGACTTAATTAGAACAAAATTTATTTGTTGCTGTTGACCGATTTTCAAGCAAAACAAAACCTAAACCTTACAATGAGCGCATTTGCAGCTTTAGATTGGTATCAATTTTAATTGAAAACCGAGAACTATTTTTGACTCCAATTAAATGACTGAATGCAAACTAATTCGGAGTTGCACAATGAAACTAATACGAAAGTCAGGTATTTTGCGTTGGAGCATCGAGAAATTGCAAATAGGTACAATTTGTTGGTCCTCAGGAATTATCCCCGAGTCGAAGCGATTTAATCGAACAAGTTTTAATTAAATTACTGAAAACTTTCCTGTCCCGTGAATATCGAATTTACAATTTACGTACTGACATTAAATTGAAAATTAAATGCAACACACGTTACTACCAATAAAAAAAAAAGAGAGAGAGAAGTACACTATGCTTACCTATCAATGGAAATCGCAACTAAATTGAAGATTGATGACGTCGAACACGTCACATCCATTGCGATGTAGAAATCACACACGAAACTTGGCAACTCCCAAGCTCCATTCACCTGTAAATAAATAAAAAGAGAAAAAGAAAACAATTAGTTTTACTTGTGCTTTTACATATGCGATTTACATAGAAAGACAAAACCAGTTTGGGCAATATTAAATCCGCAGAGGAAACATATAACTGTTTTGAAACGCAAACTTTATTCAATGTTCATTTTATACAATTCAAAAAAATCCACATCTCTCTAGTATTCAATTAATTCTATAAATCTAATAACTAAATGTATTTAAATTAGCAGTAGTTAATTTTGATTCACATTATTTCCTTGATTTTAGCTGATATTATCTAATTTGTAATTCTACTTTATGAATGAACAGACTTATAGTAAATACTCTTTACACTATTTTTTTTGAATGAACCTGTTGTACAGTCATTAGCATTTCCAAATTAAAGATCATTATGTTCTTTTCCTCTTATCTCTTTCCGAGTCCACTAAGCACCTAATCGTAATGTTCTAACGTTTAGCATTAGAACAGCATTAAGTGAAAGAAAAGTTGTTTAATTTGTTTGCTCCATTAAGCAGAGGATGCAAAGTGGAGCGAAGGTAAAAATCTTTAATTAAAACAACCTGACTCTAATGAAGAATGATGCGATAACTTTATTCTCCTGTTCCTTCTGGTCTGCTTACAAACATTTTTTCTCTCTCTCTTCGTTGCTTGATTATTTATTATTTTAAGCAGGGCATTAGCGGCGTACAAATTCAGACAATTTTAATTATGCCAAATGGCCCTAGCCATTAATTTCGATGGTATAAAAAGCGTTCCTGTTGCCTGACATGTAAAGCGCCTTTCATATAATTTTTCTTTCAACTTCGCGTACAATTTTAATTTCATCCAGCAATCCACTGACAGCGTAGTTATTTTCTAGTCGTGATTCAATTTGCGCCAAGATTTTCCACAACAAAAACCAACACCCCGAAGCCAGTAGTCTCCGTGCAGGGCAGACAACACCACAATTTAATTCATTTCAATAAAGATGGAAGAAAAAAAGAAATATTATGAAGTATTAGTTTCGGGCTTGTTCTTTGGTAATAGTGTGAGATATTGTTTGGTGAGTTTGTCTTATTAAAGATGAACGGAGATGGATTTGAGGATTAGTCACAGAAGGTACGAGTAGTTTATGGTACATAGTTCTCGGGATCGTCATCGCTCTTATCCAGTTGGAAAACTTGGAACTTCTCCGCTCTCCCTAATTACAAAGTTTTAATAGCTTTAATCGCACACACGCAGACCCTAAGCACATCCACCAATTTTTGTTTTATTCACATACTAAAATTCATATGATTATTATTTTTTTTTACAACAACTAGATAGTATTGATTTGTGGATCCGAATTCAGCTATTCACGTTTATTATGTAAACGCAGGCTCGCAACTTTTCCTCTTTTAACCTGTGCTCTTATTTCTTTTCTCCCCTCGTGCTTCCTCCCTTACACTTTAAAACATATCCCGGAATACAGGTTGGACGAAGTTGGTGTGGATCGTCCAAAGTTTCGCATTGCCACTCAAAGAAAATAAACTTGGAGCTGCACACTTTACCAAGAGGAGGAACATTTCGCGAGCTTCGTCGCCCGAAAAAAAACCTCTTTACTGTGCAACCTCCGTTTATAGAGATTTGCTTAATTTTAATACGTTTTCCTTTCATCGACGTAAAACAGGACGCCTCCAGCTTTATCCGAATTGTTCCTAAGCCACATCCTCGACCAACTTGCGAAACTTTCAAGCGCGCAATCAAAGTACATTTAATTAAGTCAAAAATTAATTAAGATCATCCCACTTACACACATACAAAAACTTTTACTTTTCTTTTGAAGATATTATTTCATCATTGACAGTTAATGAAGTCCTCATTACAAATTAAAATTGCAAGGAATTTATAGTTCGAGAAATGCCTGGATTTATTTTCTCAAAAAGTATTTTTGAACTTTACTTTTATTAGACGCTACCGAACAATGGAAAGCATACATAAATTTGGTAGAGCATGTAAATCCTTCAGGAAAGGGACAATAAAAACACAAGGAAATGAAACGTTTCTGTGCATCGAAAGAGAAATAATATATAGCATTTGCGTTGGAAAATGAGAACTTAGCCTCATAATTCGAAGTCTTACAGTTCGATGGTTAAGTAAACAAGTCTAGACATCTTAACTTAAAGATGCAGACTGTAGTAGTTAGTAATTAAGTGAAAATGGCAAAAGAAGCGGCCGCAATTTTGCTATGCAAATAAGATTTGCATTTTTACTCTGTGACGCATAATTCTTTGCTCACGAAGAATATTACATATTTTTTTTTGTTCGAAATATAATTATGTCGGATTTCCGGATTTCTAGTTAAATAGTTAATCTGAAATGGATGTTGCAACTTGCTGAAGCTACTCTAGCTGCGGCTCACGGTGTATTCAAGACTCGTAAATAGACGTCATTGTTCACTCCGATTACCCTTGGGCTTCAATTGTTGATACTGCATTGTTACTGAAATAAGATATCAGGTCCCCCTTTATTCCAGACGGAATGTCCCTTTCAACAACGAAAACTCCATTACTACCCTATCCCAAAATAAAATTATTCAATTACCCAAAAAAAAAAGAAAAAAAAAATAGAAGATAGAAGAGGGAATCCACTTTCGAACATATTTGCTCTGGAACCGAACGAGAGAGGAAATAAATAAATAAATAAGCGAGATCAATATTACATGTACACCTTTCCGTTTTCCCTTTAAGAAATTTATTCAGGGAATCCGAACCTGCAATATTCCGTCGCTGAGCTGATAATGCCTTGAAATTCTTAAATTCTACGACCCGATCAAGTAAATCTGCTTACCTAATGAGCTTTCAACTTTCCTACACTCTAAAGCTCCGACTCGATTCCGCGAGGTTGAGAAGCGATTTGTACTAACTCATAGTTCTGGCGGACGGTCCGTATTAGAGACGATTCAATTGCTTTCATCTTTTCCGTAGTTCTTAGTCGGAGGCGAATCGATAAACGGTAGTTGGTGTCGCAAGGATGAAATTGTTCGCGCATATTATTCCATCCACGGCGAAAATTGGCAATTGGGGTCCTTTCAAATTCACTTATTTCATCACAAACGGACCCAGGGGGATTCCGTATTCTTTCACTCGTCCTCTGCCACCAGAGCCGAGCCGAGCCCATCGCTATCCAAGCAATATGATGAGAAAATCCTGATGAAACGGATCTACCGACGAAACGCGGTTATTGACTTCATATTTATTTATGGAATTCATCTTGGAAATTTGTGATACATAGTTCTGGAATTATTCTATAAATATTTTATAAGAAACGAATGATTTTCCATAATCGCCATACATTTTTCGTCCAGCTTATATATATATATATATAAATAAGTTTTCCAGTTATCTTTTTGACGTTACGATTCGTCGTTGACCTCCTGTTAAACAGCTACTGACTGCCTAAAATAGGGAATTTGATTAAGCTACCTCATATTTTGTTATTCAAGCTTTTGACACGGGATAAATGTAGGTCAGAGGGAATTATAAATGATGTTTGGGCACTGGTATGTATGCGAAATAATTGATAGATTATCTTGTAGCAAATTCTATCGTAACGTTTAATCAAATTGATTGGAATTGCGGTGAGCGATCAGTCGATCTAGAAATCGCTCGCTGTGTTTACAAATTTCCAAAGCTCAGTTGAAATACAAATTTATACCCTAGTGTCAGGTATACTTACATATGGGATGTGCACATATACAATATACGTACGTTGCCGGGATTTCTGGCAATTTGTTTTGCGTACAATTCAGTTAAGTTATTATTAATTATTGCAGATA